GATGGGCTTGCACTGGCCCTGCGATGGACTGGCGTCCTGTCCAGGGTGTACCCTGCCTTGCGCTCGAGGCTCCGGCTTCCCAGTGTCTTCCAGTGTCTGGGCACTGGAGTCTCTAAGTGCCAAAAACAAAAGAACCTGAAAAGGTCTCATGACCTACGGCTACTGGAAAGCATTTTATGGAAAGTCCAGATTTCATTCTCAGCGCAGTGTTTCCAGTCTCCGCAATGAGGCAGACACCTCTCTTCCAGCAAGTGTCCTTAAAGCCATTAACCTGCCATTCTTCTTCCAAAGCCTTTCAATATCTGCTACTCTGCAAAGCCACTCAGATAATTCATCTGAGCACAGTAGCCAAGCTGGACCAACTGCCTGTGCGAGAAGAAGACGGCCAAAAGGCTTCGAATGGTCACGGCTGGACTGCGTGTAGACTGTTTCTCCCAAAACCACACCATTCAACCACGCAAGGAAAGCTCAGCCTACAACTGTATGTCTTTTACACCCTGAAGGTCTGGATTCCATTTTGCAGTGGAAACTTCTACAATTCTGTCAGCTATTTAGAAGGTGGCTTTCGGTACTTTGAAATAAAAATAAAACACGCCTCTAATAAGTAATAATTAACTTACGTGCCGTGAGGTCAAAGTTATCCACTTATTAAATGGGCAGAACTTCTACTTCCTTTATTTATTATATACATCGTTTATTTTACTCCCTGCATGCCCTCCAGAGTGAAGACAATTCTCGGGCGCAATTGATAAGCACGGTTTCATTGTTTTTATTTTTAGCGTTATCTGACAGATTTCTGCAACCGAATACGCCTCTCAGATCTGGCACAGAAATGTCTACCCTGATTCATTTTCAGTTTCATACTGCGGCTGTAATATCACAGTTCACTTCCTTGACCTAGGAACATAATTTACCAGTCAAATTATTATTATTTTTTTTCTGGTAGAGAGCGCAGAAAGCAAATCACACGAATCGGGAAATGGAAAATAAGCTTCGCTAGTTGACTTTAAACCCGCCCCCCTTCCACCCAAAAAAAACATCATCAACTGGGGGGGGAAGTAATCGGGTATTTCTCATAACACCAAGTTAATGGGATCTCTAAGTAAAAAAAAAAGTTTTCTTCATGCAAAAGCAGAATGTGACATAAAACATTAATCATGAACTATAAACTTGCGTTTTTTAAACGCATTGCTTTCTGAGGTGCCCTAGGGCAACACCAGGGCTACTAAATCTACCGTCTCCTACACCCTTCTCTCGAATCTGTCGTGCTGGGATCTTCTTGAGGAAAAGACTGAAAGGACAGAAGAGTATCCAGCTTACCCTGCCTTTTCCAAACTGGTTCGCGACTGTCTTTTTGTTTTCTGAAAGCTGTCAAATCGTGCTCGACGCAGCAGTCTCTGTGGCCTGGCCGGGTCCGAGGTTAAAATCCCCAGTTTCTCCGTCGGCTGTGAGGAGCGCCACCTATCCCGAGTCCTGTCGCTTTCCTGGTGGGTGATCCAGGCCACACCTCTCCCCCAGGTGGAAACCAGGCAGCTTGTGAACCAGGTTTCGACCTCCGGGAGTGGCTAACAGAGTTCAGGTACTTGTTAACTCTTTTGTTGCCGCTGTCGGTAGAAGATTT